GATAATTTGATGGAACTAAAATCTGGCAAAAGCTCAAGTCTTTTTGGGAGAGTGCGTGCATGTGTTTTCCCTTCTTAGACTCTCTGGACGACAATGATGCTGCCGAACTCCACATCTAGTCGTCGTCGCCTCTCTCTCACTCATCGAAACTTAATTTGCTTAGTGTACCTAAAAGGGACTTACATATGTCTAAACAATTTGTTTCTCTAGAGTTATTTCTTAGATAAAGGTGAAGTGCATCTATGTTCAAAAAACAAATATTTAGTGTGACAAAACCCTACCTACCTACCTACCTTTCTCCATGGTTCGTCCCACCATTTGGTACGTAAGATAAGATAAGACGTGTCTATCGAAAACAGAAATAAAATATAAGTGGAAAATATATGTCTCCGTGGGAGTATGCTGACATGTGGGCTCCATGCTTCTACCTTCCCCCTCCCTCTTCTTCATAAAATGATAGAGCCATGCATGGCATGTGCTACCCCTTGGAAGGTGGTAATTCTATCTGCTTGGCGTTTACCAGGGTTTTGGCAAGTAGTGTTTTTAGATATGTGTCTCCTTAGTCAAACAATCAACAACTGTCCCTCTTTACCTGGACATTCCCGTTTGGATAAACGTGCATGGAGATAGAGATATATATAGAGAGATAGAGATAGAGTATGTGAAAATAAACTTAATGGTCTCCTTTTAATTTCTTTTGCCTAATGCATGTAAGTTATCTATCAAGAAAAAAAAAATAAAGAGAAAATTTATTAAAAGAGATCTCACTAAATCTTCATTGCTTAATATATACTATTTTCTTCAATACCAATTTATAAACGGTCGGGCATATGTGAAATAATGACGAGTGATCTATAATTATGTATTGCATGAAAAAAATATCAAGAGGGGACTTGGATTCGAAAAATAATATCGGGTTTTTAGTTTATATGCCCTAAATATTTTCAAGCATCCCAATATCCCAATTCGTTTTGCTTTCATTTTGGTGATGAATACATTTTTATGCCATAGAAAAGAATTATGGGGTCAACTTTATATGATTGTAAAGTCTCAAGGTAAAAATTATATATTTTTAAAAATAGTTTAAAACTTTGGAGGCAATAATAAGCCTTATCCGTTCCCCTACGTCGTTATTTGATACAGTATTTCCCATCAATACATTCATTGCCCTTGGAATCAAGAGCATGCCAGACCCAAGATTTTATGTCAGGGCCAGAGTGAGGAAAACAAGACATAATGAAAATACACGAACGTCGGACCTTCATTGATGGATGACAATCTTCACCTGAATCAAGTTCATGTTGGGTGAAGTATAGAAAATTGTATAAGTTGAACTTATATATATAGAAATTTTTACGATATCGTCCGCAGTATCAATGTCGAAAGTTACAATTTTTTAAAGTGTAAATTACAACTTCAAATGATATGATCAATCATAAAATGTTAGAATCGATACCACAATTTTTATGATTGATGATGAGTTTCTGTGATCAATCATGACTTGTCTTGAGCGGTTATAACTTTTTTTTTTCAAAATTAAACCGACAGTATAATACCAAAATTTTATTTTGGTATATATATATATATATATATATATATATATATATATATATATATATATATATATGGATGTCACACACTGAGTGTACCATTCACTTTTCATTGTCAGTTTTTGTTGATAATTGACATTAAATGACAGCTAAAATTTTCAGGATGGTCTTGAAGAATATTTATAACAAGTTATTCAATATTGACGATTTAATAATGTAGAGAATCCCAATTATGTTTGTGCGGGATAATTCCGATCCTTTACGACATATTTTTTTTCTCGATTTTACTCAAGTGTAGATTCTTCCCAATATATTAGTAGGAGACCTGATTAAGTATGGTGTAAATTAACATCGAGAAAATTTTACTTAGAGACATTTTGCTTGCCAATAGAACATAAATATCAATATATGTTGGTAACTTTCACCTAAAAAATAGTACAAATATTCAAAAAATTGATAAGTATACATACCAATTTTTTTCTCCGATACTAATAGTGAATCCACGAGTTAGAGGCCATGAATGCTTCAAATCTCACATCGATAATTATGCCCAATAAAAAATTTATCTGAGAATTACTCCAACAACCGTAACATTTAATTAGCGGAGCTACCGTATCTATCACTTTCATTCCTCTTGTAAGTTTTTAGGGTCAACACAGGGAACCCAAAATCTATGAAGAGTTTAGGATTCAAAGGGAGGGAAGAAAAGGTGCACCTTATTTTGGAAAAGGTGATCGAAACATGACCACTTTTAGAGTAGAGATTTCAAAATCAAGAGCATTGAAAAGGGCAGCCCAACATTCTCACCCCTCTGTTTGCTTAAGAGTAAGACAAGGACCACATTTCCCTCCAGCCCTAATCGAGAAACCTTCCCCTTCACTCACCTATAATACCAAAAATATGTTCCCTTTGGGAGTTTTCCCAACTCCCAAGGCACTCTTATTAATCAAATTCACTATGCTAATGTGGTATAATGATGGGACTTTTCTGAAATACCCTATGATGAAGACACGTGTCCTCGGTTTTACTAAAACACTGTTGCTAAGATCAAGCACCATCGGCGCACGAATGTCCTCGCCCCCGAGGTACCGTCATATAGGATCATACATTCAATATATTTTACAACCGACACGTGGTCTCGGTCTGATATGTACCTCGGTCGGCATACCTCCCTCGGTCCCCGAGATGAGCCTTTCTTCGGTGTCGAGAGGTACCCCGTCCTGGACGCTTCCTCTACTCCAGGATAAGCTATTGACGTACAGGTCATTAGCCTAGGCTAGTCATCATGACCTCGTCTTACACAAGTAATGTCAGAACGTACTAGAATACAGAGGTCACAGCCAATAAGGGATGGACGCGTGACATATGATATCACATCAAAGACAGACAAACCGCATGCCGTTGCTGACACGCGACTTGGGAAAGCAAACAATTAATTGCACCATTCTCTTGATGAGACCGCATTCAATGCGGTAAGGCTCGGAAATGAAAGACAATAAATGCTCTTATTACAGAGCATTTATTGCATCCTCCCCGAGAGGAGCACATTGTACCGTCGGCATCCCGATGATCCAGCATTGATTGCTCGGGACCCCGAACAGTTAATTAGAGAAGACATTCCTCATCATAATCAGTGCACACGCTACCTGTGCCTAATGATCACCTACTGACCACACTGACAGCAATTATGAGCTTTTAAGGTATAAATACTCCTTGCAAAAGGCAAAGGGGGTATGCAACAACAAACTCTCTACTACAATACATTCTCAGTGTTTTCTCCTTCCTCTCTCTTTCTAAAAGACTGACTAGATCGTCGGAGGGGATACGTCGAAAAACACTCCGGCGCCCTTATAACTTGTTCTTCTTTGTTCCAGGAACCTCTTTCGGCCTTACAGGATCGTTCTTCCTTTTCCAGGGTCTCCCGTTGCCGTTCCAGGTTACCACCGTACCTTGCAGGCTGTCCCAAGCAGCGTGTTTGGTCACTCAACAGGCTCACTCTAAGTTCACCAAAGGAGAGATCTGTTCTCGTTTTTTATATTGTGCAGGATCTTGCACGCACATATACTATAATTTTGACTAGAATCTGATTATTTGGATATAAATTAATATTTTTAATTTATTATTCAAACTCAAACTCAAATCTAATATCTTATATTTCACGGTTTTGAATTTGAATATATTTTTATTCGATACTTTTAGGATTAATTGCACTGGAGATCCCCAAAGTATACAATTTGTCTCATTTTGGTCCCTAATATTTTAATTGTATTATTTTTGTTCTTCATATTTCAATTGCATCATTTTGATCCTTGAAGTATTGAATATATTTTTATGTGGTCCCTCAAACAAATAACATTCAAATTGCTAACGGTTTCTGATCATAAATTTATTACGGGATATCTAAATGTTGGTAAAAAATAATTTGGATAATTCTTGACCCAAATATGAGTAACTCTTGACCAAAAATGTATAATATGAATAGCTCTTGAGCAAAATTTGGATAGCTCATAATCAACACAATATAATTTGGGTAACTCTTTGACCAAAATTTTGAATATAAATTTGGTCAAGAGTTATCTAAATTATTATTTTTTACCTATATTTAGATATTACATGACAGGTTTGAAACCTTTCATTAAGGGATCATATAGAAATATATTAAATACTTCAAGAACTAAAATGACGCAATTAAAATATTGGGGGACCAAAATGAGACAAACTCCATATTTTAGGGACCTCTAATACAATTAACCCTACTTTTTATTATAGTTAAAATGTTTATCGTGGATAATATATTTAGTGCGATTAAAATATTTACTGTTGTTAAAATATGTAATGTGCTTTAAATTGTTTATCGTGGTTAAATGTACATGAGTGATTAACATATTTTGAAAGATTAAAATATAAGTCGTAAAATAAGCTATTAGACTAGAACAAACATGAAAAAGATTATACATAATTTATAAGACTCCCATTTATAACAATGTTCAAAAAAGTGATTAATGGTCTTATTATAATTTTTGAATGGTTGATTTTCGAGCTTAAATCGGCAAAATATAATATTTAGATGAATAAATACATGTTATTTTTATTGTATATATATAAAATTAAATATTAGATAGAATTGTGATAGTAAAAAAGTGAAATAGACCTATGGTATTGGTAAGGTCCCTCATTGTAGTTGTAGGTTATGAAAGAATTTAATAAAACAAATAGATTGACAAGAATGGTATAAAAGTTAATAGAAAATGATTAATGACAAATGATATATAATTTGTACTTAAACCAAAAATTATAATAATAATAAAAAAAAATTAATCACAAGATATTATAATCAACCAACGTGATGACGTGTCACTATCACAATCCCGATCGGCGTTTTTGCCTTCGCGGTCTTTCCTCTCGCAACAGAGAAAGCATAAAAACAAACACCAAAATTCAATCAGAAATCAATCTCTCTCTCTCTCTCTCTCTCTTTCTGCTATTTATAAATTCAACCTCCTCTTCTCATGTCTCTCTGAAACGAGATTTCTCATATTGCTATCTATTCTCTCCCCCTCTCTCTTCTCTGTATATGTATATGTATATGTATATTTATATTTATATATCCGCGGAGGTTAGGGTTTTGTTTTCTCACACTACAAACGAGAACACAAACAGCTTCCCAGGTACGTTTTTTTGGTTCATCAATCTCAATGTCATTTTGACCTAGATATCCACAATCGGTCATTGCTTCATTCTTCTAGGAATTCTATGGTATCTATTAACTATTCTCGATTTGATTACAAGTTGGTGTTGGATTTATATTTGCATTGAGTGTTTGAACAACCTTCCTTTCATGTGATCAGGTGATATTTATCGAACCATCGATTTCAATGTGTGGAGGCACAGTTTGTGTGTAAATTAAGTGTTTTATGATCCCGAATTATTTATAAGTTTCATGTTTAGAAATGGTGGGGTTTTGCGAATTGGAGAGAGTGAATTAGGTTTTTTTGGTGGTACTGTATGGTGTGGTGGTGCGAAGGCCATTTTTATTTTTATTTTTTGCTGGGGTTAGTGGGTGATGATGACAGATGTTCAGCAACAACTTCAACAAAAGCCTGAACCTGAGAGCACCATCGATGGTGCCCAGGCTCGGGCTGAATTTGACAGGGGGTTGGAGGAATTAATGCGTGGACATTTGGACGAATGTATGTCATTTGCATCGTGTAGTTCTAATCGTAATACCGAGGATGAGGATGATGAGGGTGATCAGCTTGTGAGGAGAAGGAGAAGGTCGGATCTTGAGGGGGATGATCTGGCTGAGTCTTCTGCTGCCAGAAGGCGCCACTCGCGGATACTGAGTAGGTGGGCTGCCCGGCAGGCGCAGGAGATGATTACCACAATTGAGAGGACAAATCGTGAGACGGAATTGATGGCGCTTGCAGGTTTGCATACAGTTTCCATGCTTGATTCTTCGTTCTTGAGGGAGTCACCATCTCCAACTTCAAGGCGGCAGGGTAATGTTGAGAGGCCCAGCACCAGGGCATCGTCTATTCTGCAAATGTGGCGGGAGTTGGAGGATGAGCACATGTTGAATCATGCTCGGGAGAGGGTGAGGGAACAACTGAGACATCAAAGAAATTTAGACTCTAATACAGACAGATCAAGTACAAATATGTCTGAAAGCCAAGGGAGTGATAATCAGGGTATTTTGGAGGATGCTAGTGAGAGTGAGAATGATTATGGAACTTGGTCTCAAGATCAGATGGGACCACAGAATGAACATGGGGACCGCAATAGTTCTAGTCGTGAGCAATCTCCTGATCTTGGTGAAGTTGAGCGGGAGAGGGTCAGTCAAATTGTTCGGGGATGGATGGAGACTGGAATCAGTGATCATTCATCTAATGTTCCCCAGAGGAGTGGTAGTCCGAGGTCAGAATGGCTTGGCGAAACTGAGCGTGAAAGGGTGAGGATTGTGAGGGCGTGGATGCAAACGACAAGTCAACAGAGAGGAGCTCGTAGTGGTAGAAGGGAAGAACAAATTGCCGGACTTGGTGCCCAAGCTGGACGAGTTCGTGAAGGTTTGGTTGTTGACCATGATGCAGGTCAGCCAGAACATAGTCGCAGGGACAGGCTGAGGTTGCGGGGAAGACAAGCTCTGCTTGATTTGCTTTTGAGGATTGAGAGGGAGAGACAGGGGGAGCTTCAGAGTTTGTTGGAACATCGGGCTGTTTCTGACTTTGCCCATCGCAACCGCATTCAGGTCAGTTGCTCACCATTGGTGCTGTTATTCATCACTTGCCTGTTTCCTCGTGTAATTTTTCCTTCTGTATGTTCGTAAGGAAAGCTTTCATTTAAGTGTCTACATACTGTGTATGCTTTATTCTGCATAGATTGTTTGATATTGAAGTTGTAGTTTTATTTTGTGCATGTTAGTTCTGAAGTTCAGGGTTTTGAGATTGGCCAAATCCAAATGTTTGGCAACAAATTCAGCATGGGAAACAATTTTATGCCCCTTTCCCAGATTTGTGCTGGCTATTCTATTTTCTGAACTTTGAAGGGAGAGAACAGTTCTTTTCTATTTTCTACTCTGGAGATTGGTCATTATCTTAAACAATGGACTGCCTACGTAAAGCTGAATGGCAAAAATAGGATACTTATAGTTGAGCTTTAGTAGGTCAGAATTAAACACTTTCTATGTAGCTAATCCTCCCCCCCTCACTTTCCCAAAAAAAAAAAAAACCAAATCAGCAAGAGAAAAGAAAAATCAGAATGAGAATGACAATAAAAGACCAATCCACTGATAAAAAAAGTAATAGTAATATATGACTCAACCTGCTTAATCTTGGCAAGATCTACACTCTACTTCTATTATCCAGTTGTTTTTAAATCCAACATGGTTTTACCAAATTTTTTTTAGTCAATAACAAAATCTATTTAACTGATAATTATGGAGTTATGCTTCTATTACTGGTTTAACTATGAAAGCTATTACATAAAACCTTCACCAAGTAGTCCTGGCCTGTTTATGAAATTTGGCCCGTTTGCTTAGGTATTAATACCAAAAATTATGGCAAGATTGCGTACATCTGACCAAGTGGTGGCAAAAGAATTGTCCTGACTCTATATTTAGTTTACTTTCATCACCAAAATGGGAAAACAAGGGTTTCTTTCAAATAATTTTATTTGATAAGAGCCCTTTTCAGTGGATTGCTTATCCACAATTTATGTTCATTTGCATCTTTCTATGAAATGAAAATTTTGTTTTGATCAAAAAAAAAAAAAAAAAAAAAACATTGTACAAGAGCATAATGTGTGTGATGGTTTTTGTAGATAAAAAAGTTTTATTGCGATATTCTCCATCTAGGGGCTATATATTTCTTGGAATAAATAGTGAATCCTCTTAGTGTGATATTTTTTACTTGGGAAAGTTTCCTTAATGAATTTTAGAATGTTTTGCTTGAATAGACAATCATGACTTGGAACTATTCATTTTCCTGTAGTCATTACTCAGAGGCAGATTCTTGCGAAACGAAAGGCCTGTTGAGGATGAGCGACCACCTTCTATGGCAGCGGGTGAATTAGTTCATTTAAGACAACGACACACTGTCTCCGGGCTGAGGTACGTGATCTTCTTTTCCAAGATGGTGTTCTTGATTTTTATTTCCGGACGTTAGCCTACATGAGTATGGGATTATGTTTTCTGGATTGCCATTGACTTTTAGGGCTGTATATTACTGTCTTGCATTCTTATGATGGTTATAAGGTGTAAAAATATTTAATTAGAGTTGTCATGTGATGGTATGATGCAGGGCAGGCTCTGTCTTTGTTGGTTCTTTAATGTAGCAGTTAGCAGTTGATCTTTATCCTGATTAAAATATTGACTGGGGGTACTTATAGAACAAAGGTCAAGAATGTAATGACAGTTCAATAATTGACTTATGAGTAAATTGGATTTTAATACCAGTTTTATCTCACTAAATGTTTAGAATCTTTAGATAATCTGTCTATTGATTGTATTAGTTTTGAAAGATGCATCGATGTGGTCCTCTAGGCCTGGATTTTTATTTATTTATTTTGTGATTTTAAACGTTAAAACATTAGATCTATTAAGCACGGATGCGAGATACAGGTAACATACAATACGGATATGGCGATACAACAAAACCTACAAAAATAGGATACGGGTACGGTTAGAATATATCCATAAAATATATTTTTTTAAAATTTTATTATTATATTTAATATAATAATTATGATTTATAAAGTGAATCACACATCTATTAAAGGTATATAATAATAAATAGCCATTCTATCATTCAGAAATTACACATCTATCATAATTTTTTTTTTGCAAATAAGGGCCCAAACATATTTGTTCTGGTACCCCTATTCTTTTTAAAAAATTCAAGTAATATCTCGCCGTATCCCCAACGTATTCTGATGTATCTCGGCATATCATGAAGTATCTAAAATTCAAATTTATTTATTTTTAATTATAGGATACTTTCTAGTTGTATCGGATACGTATCCGGCCTTATCGGACGCATATCCGTATTCGGAAAGTATCTGATACAGATACTTTGACCCTTTTGAAGTATTCGTGCTTTATGGCATTAGACTTAATGTTATTTTAGAATAAAGAAAGTGAAGGCCCAAGAAGCGATGCCTTAACAACCCTAGATGGAACTAGAGGAGGAGGAAGAAGGGGGGGGGGTTGTCTTTTCAAGTTAAATCACATTTCACATGTGGGATGCATGCAAATTAACCAATGGCATATACAATTAACAATTCCATGCAAATAGCATAAGGAGTGTTCAATGCGCATGCATGCAAATTTAACAACCAAATCAACATTTTGTGGCTTGGGCAATCAGCAATTGAATTGGTAGTGAATACAATTTCCTTTGTGGATCATTGAGTCTGCCCTCTCTCTTGCGTAGATAGGTACTTTTTGGTTAGTCTAGTACAGATCGTGTAAGGGTAGCATTCCCTTCTTTTGGCCTAATGTAATAAATTTATCTTTACCTATCCAAAGAAGGCAGTTAACTTGTAGAACTTGTCTTTCAATCCAGTCTGTTGATTGCCACTTTTTGCTCTGGAGTTAAGTGTTTTCTCTATATTTTTATTCTCATTACAACTTCATGATTCATTCAAGCATCTCTATTTTCATGATGGTTGTAGTAGTCAAAGAAGGTTTCCACATGCTTTATTTGGTCATCCTCAATTATTCTGTCTGCGGGCTTTTTGTGCATTCAAGTACAAGAATTTTAACAGGCATGAATGGATGACATGTGTGGTTTCTTGTCCAGGGAAGGGTTCCGCTCCAGATTAGAAAACATCGTTCGTGGTCAAGTAAGCAGCCAATCTGAACCCTCATCTCACTACAACAACACTGATTCCAGAAATGATCAAACTCTTATAAACCCTTCACAGGAGGTTCAACATGAAAGCTATGAGCAGTCACAACCTAGGCGTCAGGAAAGTGACACTCATCAGATGTCAGCTAGTATAGGAAATTTAGAAAACAGCGTTGTTGTTCAAGGTATAGCTCGACAAGCAACTGCTAATGAAGGAGGAGATTGGCAGGAACAAGATATCGAGGGTGAGAGAGGAAACTTGCATCTCTCGACTTACAGCGAACTCAATGAATCGAGAGATGGGACTGCAGAGGATATAAATGGAAATTGGCAGGAAAATTCAGTCAATGATTGGCCCCAGGCAACTCCAGGAACTGATGAAGGAGGAAGTCATCTGCAAGAAACCCATGGTGCTTGGCATGAGGATGGCTCTCGTGAAGCTGTGGACAATTGGTCAGAAGGGCCTTCTGATCCCCCGAGAATGCATCGTTCTATTCCAGTAAGAAGAGTCAATAGATTCCATCCCCCTGATGATGATAATGTGTACAGTATGGAACTCAGGGAACTCCTAAGCAGGTATCACGTTATTATATAAAGGCTTCATTCTATTGGTGTATGTGCTCGAGCTGTCTAGGCATTACTTTGACTTTTCATGTGATAAGAATTTCTGTTTGGTGTAGGAGGAGTGTTTCTAATCTTCTTCGCAGTGGTTTCCGTGAGAGTCTGGACCAGTTAATTCAGTCATATGTAGACAGGCAAGGTCGTGCTCCAATTGATTGGGATCTGCCTGGAAACTTGTCCACTCCTGCTTCACCAGAGCGGGATCAGGAGCAGCTGAGAGATGGTCAGAGTGAAGATCAGCATGATGCGACTGGCGGACCTTCACTGGTACTACCATCTCCTCCATTGCCGCCACCACAACCACCACTTTGGCACCAGGATTTGCATCATTCTAGTTGGCCTCGTCGCATGCTGCATCGTTCTGAACTTGTAAGCCATCTCTGATCTATGGTTCTTGGCGCTACATCCTTGAACGCATGAACTTTCCAACACCTCCTTCAGGACGTGTTCAATCTGTTTCATTAGGCATCATGTTTTTTTTTTGATAATTTCGGGTTAGAAAAAGGTTGCAGTTTGTTGTCACCATGGATTATCAGTGTTTAATGTATTATTCGTATGTACCTATTTATCATCTTTAATGGCTCCATACGAGGATACTTTATCACAATTAATTGTACATGATCAGTGGTGGCCCCTTCTATGAAATTTACATCTGTTGTCACTCCAAAATGATTGTGCAATTTTACCCTAATTGTTGTCCAATCTCACCAGAACTATAATTGGCCTTAACAACATGCAACTCTTCCTACTCTTAGGACATTCAAAGCATTCTCCTGTGCAACAGGTTGAGGGTTTTGAGCAATACAATGAGTGAGTTTGGTTAGTATGAGCACCTTTGTCCTTTTTGCTGGACTATTTTCGGTTAACAGTCATGCTCTCAGTTGATGGTTTAAGTGGAGTCAGAATATTTCAACTACCAATCCTTCATATGTTTTGGATTTTTTTGAGTGATCTGGACTGAGAAATGATCCTATTAGGATCTTGTAGTGGTTGTTGCAAAATTGTTTATTCTTAACTGTTGCCTTTTTTGGGTCCCCCTCCCAAGGTTTCTAAACCCGTTAATGCAACCCACCTATTTCTGGTGTTAGATGTATGTTTCTGCACGTTGGAGTTCGTACTAAATAGTTGGATGGTGATTTGAACCAGGAGTGGGAGATGATCAATGATCTCAGAGCAGACGTGGCAAAGCTTCAGCAAGGTATGAACCACATGCAGAGGATGTTGGAGGCCTGCATGGACATGCAACTGGAGTTGCAACGATCAGTCAGGCAGGAAGTCTCTGCTGCTCTGAATCGATCAGCTGGTGAACAAGGTTTATATACAATCTCAATATAATCATCGTTGCTTTCTCTGCTGTACAGAACACTTGACATAGGACGAAAATTTTAAAATGCTGCTATCTCCTTGGGGTTCCTAATATTTTCCTTGTGTTTGGATTTTAGGTACCATATTTCTAAAATTGTTACAGTTACAAGGAGAGGGACTAACAAGATGTTGATATGTGTGCAGGCTTGGCTGAGACCTCAGAAGAAGGATCTAAATGGGGTCATGTCAGGAAAGGAACTTGCTGTGTTTGTTGTGATAGCCACATTGATTCTCTATTGTACAGGTGTGCTTGCTTCTTTGCTTATATATGTTCACATACGGTCCTAACTTACGACAAACAATCGAGCTACTGTGACAATAGTTTAACTCAATTTTGCTCTCTCACAGATGTGGGCACATGTGCACTTGTTCCAAATGTGCAAATGAGCTGGTTCGCGGTGGAGGGAAGTGTCCTTTGTGCCGGGCACCAATTGTTGAGGTGATACGAGCTTACTCAATACTGTAAAAAGAGTGCATGATAATGTAAAGGACAACAGAAACAAAAACTGGTGAGTAATACAACTCCGAGGAGCTACTGTCAGAAGTTTGTCAGGTTCTTGACTGTAGTGTTTAGTTTACCGCTGTTGTTTGTCCAATTATATGTGGAACGCTTTGTGCATTGTATAATTGGAATAACTAATGGTACCTTTTGATTCTTCATTCATGCGTAAATAAATATTACAGGGTAAATTCTTTTTATTCTACTACTCGATTCTTGCTGGTATTCTTAGGAAAAATAAAGTCTGATATACCATGGCAGGATAGACATGCCTTCGTGTAGAACATTAGCAGGAAGGACGTGGTGGCTAAAATTTTACTTTGAAACAATCCGAATTTTATTCCGGACACATTTTCCTCGATATATTTTTGTCCTATCAGTTGCTTTTCTCCAAAGGGGTCGTTTGGTTGTAGTATTAAATGGTGGATTACAGAGTCAATAATAGATTAAGACCCTAATTTAATCTTATATAATACTTCATTCGTTTTTAAATATTTGTCGTTTTATACAATTGTTTTTGCTTCATAATATCTATCGTTTAATGAAACTAATGCATAATTAATATTTTTTTTTTAAATTTATCCTTAACTTTTCAATATATTAGATTACGTGGAGGTTAAGTGTCTTTCATATTCCTTTCATTCCCAATACGTATTGAATAAGTGTATTTTAGTCTTGTGTGATTATTTTTTTGTTTATATTAGAGCTATTTAATAGCTTCCTTAATCACTGTACAAAAACCTTAAACGACAGATATTTAGAAACAGAGAGAGTATTTAATTACAAAAATATTATGTATTATATATAGTCTTATTTTAAATTTTTATTTAAATAATATACTGCTTATCTAAATAGTACATTGCATTCATACTATTAAGTCGATTATAATAACACTTGGGGAGGTGGTATTATAGGCCAATTCAAGCGTATTAAGTTATAAATTTATTATTTTATCTAATAAATAAAGTAAAAATTTAATAATTATACAAAATTGATGGTTTTTTAGTCAATGTATAATTATTATTCTATTATTTTATTCTTAATCCAGTATTTTACCAAACACTAGATTATAATGCGTAATATGTTTGTCCAGTATATAATCATATATTTTATTCATTTATACGGGCTTGACTTTATTCATTTATATGGGCTTGATCTGTATTATCTAATACAATTTATTCTTTTACAATACGACAACCAAGCGAGTGTAAAAAGTATCTTATTTATGGTTGCTAATTCTCAAGACGATTTGCTAACTCAATATGAAATCGATATGCGATTATTGGACATGAATTGCCTTAATGGGTTTGGGATTTTATTGAGTTAATCCATTAACAAATGGATTTACAAGAACTCGGGTACATAGGATTTACACACAACACGAGGTTAATTATACAGTTATATATTAGTTGCGACAAGAAGATTTAGATAGACATGAATTGATACCACACGATTCAAAGCAAGTTTTAAAATTTTTTTTCTCGTAGCAAATCTTAATATCGGAACATGTGTTGTCCCAGAAGCAATAGTACCGTTTCTCTGACGTGCAAGAATTAGGCTGTTGCCCTTTCTTTGCCTTTCAATGAGTGGTCTCACGGCAGAAGAAAAAGACTGGATGAGATGTTTAAAAGGATGTCTTCCTGATCCTCTGAATCTCTAAGTAGTGTTGAAGTCTTCAGGGTAGATTCAAAACATTCCAGAAGTGTCAATGCTTTGGAGCATAGTTTTAAAAACCGGTCCGGAGATCCCTCGTCAAGTCAATGCCTTATTAATTTAACCGTTGGGTCACTGATCAAATCGATTAAATAATACAAAATTAAAAAATAATTATAAATAAATTAAAAAAATCACAATAATTATAAAAATAACAAGTTCAATATATATTAGATCAAACAAAACCCCAAAATCATCAAAACTGGATCCAATATATTCTTTGATGAATGAATCTTCAAATCAAGTAATTACACAATTACAAACATATTATAATAGCATTCATAAAATAATATCTTTATTATTTCCCGGTCGAGTATCTAGAATTGCTTTTTCTACGGGTTAATCTTTACTTTTTTTTTTTTCTTTCAAACAAATCAACACTTTTATTTATGAATCAAATAATTACAATCAGTAGAAAAGGCAGACAGGCCTGCTAATGCAACTGCTGAACCAAAAAAAAATCAAAGAATCAACAACTTCCTCCTCCTCCTTAATACTTTAAACCCCCTATTGATAATGCAACAACAACATCCTTCCCTGCAAAGGAATATTCAATAAAGGGGAAAAATCAGCAGAACCTCCATTCTGCACAGCCCAATTAGCAAAAAAATCAGCCAAATAATTGGCTTCCCTGTACACATGAACTGAAGACCACCGAAGACCGAACACATCAAAAAAATCAGCCAAATAATTGGTTTCCCAGTACACATCAATATGGGTTCTTATAGAAATAAGCCTTCATTGTGCTCACCGAACTTCATCAAAACTAAACCCACCAAGAACTGAAGACCTCACCCGCCCAGAACAGTTACAACTAGCGCAACGAGAAGTCAACCAACAACTACCAACCAAATAACCTCATATAGGAGAGAGAGAGAAACTTAATACCCGAGACGAAAGAGAAGGATGAAGATCTGTTGTGGTCTGTGAGTCGAAGTCTCAAAGATCTACTATTTGAGTCTTTAGAAGAACTGATTCGAAGAGATGGCTGGGTGATCAGTGATGTTCTGTTGAGGCCTGAGCCGAGTATAGAGCTAGCACAGAGGAAGAGAGAGAATGTCTTTCGCGAAGAACTAGAGGAGGGGGCAACATCGTTGAACCAGAGGACGGGGCAACGTCGTTGAACTAGAGAAGAGGGCAAGGAAATAAAATTTTAGGCAAAAATGCCCTAGAACGCTAGAACTTCTTTTTTTATAGCAGTCAAATTAAACCGTCCGGGTTGATCCAAACCGGACGGGTCAAGGAATTTATTACAAAACCGGCCGATTCAGCGGGTCCTTACCGGTTCTTTTGCTCGAACGATCTGATAGCTGAACCGGCCCGGTTCAGGCTCCGGTTCATCGGTTAACCGGGTCAACCCGCCGGTCCGGTCCGGGCCGGGTTATAATACACTGCTTTGGAGTGATTTTTTTTTTTTTTAAAGTTTTATTTCTTAACAACACAGGATTGTTATGAATCAATTCTACTTTAAAGAAAAAATTGAATATTCATTGATCAAATCATTCACTCCATAGTCGGGTAAATTTTTTGAAGAACAATAACGGCAACCATGAAATTTATAAGAAGAGAAAAATCTATCGACTTTAGAAATCATGAGGGTTCAAGTTCCTCTATTCCCAAAAAATCTATTTAACACCCTAACTATTTATCCTATCCCTTTTCATTAGGGATTCAAAATTCATTAGCTTTCTCATTCACTCTATTCTTTTACAAGAAGATATGAGCGGAAACAATTTTCTTTTATCACAAACAGGTTTTGTGATAGATGTGATACACGTCCAAAATTTTTAAAAAGTGAAATAGTGAAAAATATCATTTAGTTGCTACACTTGACGACAAATAGTTAAGAGAAAGCATTGTTTGGTTTGTAAGCCACGGGTGAAATTTTCTTCTAAAACAATGCTGGTTTCTCTTGTAATGAAATTGATAAGGCTTGCAGTTGACTGGGCATCTGAACATTACCTTTGAAATTGAGAACTGAGAGTAGACAAAAAAAGGCTATTTTCTTTCAGTACTACAGCTACATACAGAAGTGTAACATCCTGTACAAGACATCTCATTTCTTCCCCACAAAAAAATGCCAAATGAAATCACTCTTTCAAATCACCAATTTTCTTTTCTGTTCTTTTTTTAAGCTGTTACCAGCAGCCTCATCCACTGCCTGAGGTTCTCTGATGGACAATATATGTGTTTATTCTCTATGATTGTGTATTGGAGCAATTAGAATTTAAAAGAACCGAGTTCAGATAGGGAAAAAAGTGATCGGGGGACCAGGGAAAATGAAAACTCACTTCAAGTCCCGTGTTTACGTAAATCAGTTCCTCCCGTCATTGACATTTGATGGTCTTCAGCTTCATTACAAGTTGTTCACGCTGAGCTTCTACCTCTGCATATTTAAGACTCATGTGGAGGTAGCGCTCTTGAATTTCTCTCAACTCTGCCTCAAGAAATGATTCCTTCTGTTTATCTTCTTCCTTGTTGGTTTCTTTCTCTTGAGCTTCTAACTTCTTGGGAGCATCTGATTCACTATTTTGTCTTTGGGACAACAAACTGAACAGAAGAAGCAAACAGCAAAAATGGGCTTGTCAGGATTAGTATATAACAGAGCAACAATCATATGTTCATCTCTCACATTAACATCACACTCACAGGCATGCACCTGCATGAGTGCAAATGCAAATATTTGACTCTTTCCGGAAATGCAAAATGAGCACAGATGGTCTAAGACTACAGTTACGCAAACTGTTCATTTAGCAGTAATCAATATGTCCTTGTAAAATGGTTTTTGTAAAAGTTTTACAGATTTTGAGGCTCTTTAGAGAAACCCAAAATTCAACAGCTGGTCCAAAAAATTACATTTATATAATCAGTTCGGACAGAAGACATCAATATTTTGGGGGTGAAAATGAGTTTCCTAAGAATTTTAACAGTTTCTGAGACCACAATAAAAAAAAAAAAAGGACACAACACCAGCTTCATCTTTACTCAGAGAGAACTATTTTGGTGCACAGGACAGAAGTTGCGTGAGCAGGCCTCATTCAAAGTCCAAACAGTTCATCAAAAGGATTGAATGCTTTATAAGAACTAAGAGAGCTTCGATATTTCAACAAGTGGCAATGTAATCACTGGCTGATGAGTCTCCTTTTTGTTTTTCAATTTCAAATTTATTTCTTTTTGATAAATAAAAAACGAACGTTCTGCTTTATGTGATGCAGGTATAACTCTAGACAAACAGATATCACAGACAAGGAAGG